GTACAGAAAGCAGAAGATTAGGAAAGAAAATAGTTGTTTTATCCAATTTCTTTAATGTTGACTAAAACTAAGCAAACCTAGTTATTTAGCACTTTTCCATACCTTCATCACAAAATGCCGTGACGCAAAAAGCTAAAACCATAATTCCATTTTATCTATAATTAAACAGCATTAACATAATTAAATCCCACATTGACTGTGTATGATGTGATCATTAATAGATAAAGTTTTTATTTTTAAAACAGGGAAACTAAACAACCGTCTGTCTAAACTGTTTGCCCAGCTAATGTTTCTACTATTGCAGCTACCGTGAGATACACAGCAGAAGCAATAAGCATTATTCCAAACAGAAATGCATAAATACATTTAAAACAAAAACAGTAGATTACTTAATTTTACTAAACATTAATATCAGACTTAAATATTGAAGCTCTCTTACCTTTAACTGTTATACTGAGAGGATCATCACAAGCTGTTGCTTTGAACGGCTCGTTCTCAATCCTGAAGAAGTATCTGTCTGCATAACTGGTCTTTACATCAGGAAACAGAGTGGTGCAGTTTTTCTCTTTCAGGTTTCCAGTAATATTCAGTGAATAGGTGTTAACTGACCCACTGCTGTTGAAAATAACTATCTTTGGATCAGAGGCAAAATTGGTGAGCACCTTTTATCCAAACTCCATAGATAGTTCTGCTGCTGTCATATTTGGTATCCCCTGTATCATAGATACATGGGATTTCTAAACAAGATCCATTTAGAGCTTCAATCTTCTTTGGTGTAGTGATATTGAGGGCTGGTTTTCTACCACCACAATCAGCCAAAGTAGCTGTAAAAACAGACAAATGATGAACATGATGTGGAGAAAAATCTGCTTGCTTAGAATCTTCATGATCCACAAACTCAACTCCATCTGCATGTAACATGTGAAGCCTTTAAACAACATCAGGATCTAACATTTCTAAATAAGGAAGTGAACAATCAGCTCACCTGGAAGAAAGAAGACACTCAGTAACATGTTGACTGTCAGCAGGTTCTCAGACAGAGCTGCCATCAGATTCAGACCCTGGAAACCAAACATTTAGCTGATTTATTACAGTGGTTCTGAAATTAGACCTTCAGCTTGTAGCAAGCAGCTTTCAATGTGCTGTAAATATTTAGACTTTAATATCAAAAAGCCTGTTGAAATATTTGGTTAAATGATCAGAGTCAGAAATGTGAACTCACCAGAATTTCTTCAGTAAGCAAAAAACTGTTTAGCTTTCAAACAAGTTGATCTGTTCAGATCAGTTGATCAGCAGCAGAATAAACAGCAGCCTTCTCTGTTACCAGATGTGTTATTTAAATAAGTCTCCATCCTTCATGGTTTGTAAAGAGGAAGTCAGCTCTTTCTCACCACTGTATAAAGTCATCTCATGAAGGGTGTTTTAACACAGTGCTAAGAGCCATTAACTAAATATCATAATAGCCGATCAATTTTCATAGCACAGCTGCCTTTAAAAATGATAGATCACAAAATCTGAAAATACCAAAGAGTACACACTAAAATACACATATTTATCCTTTACCATATAAGGGCATCAGTGCCTGTTCTCAATAAAAACCTCCTGCGGAACTAAAAAACCTTAAGGTTTAACTTCTCATTTTTACTTCAGTTTCTCAGNATAATCAGTATCATTCCTGCAAACTTTAATCCTTACTGTGGATTTTCTACTAAAACCTGATGCTCTCTGACCTCAACAATATTTTGTGCACAAAACAATCCAGATGTATGTAACACTGTGTAGCTTTGCATGCAGGCATGTTGAATATTTTTGCTGATGCTCTTGTTGACTTCCTGCTGTGGGTGTAGGTCGGTACAGATGGAAACAAATGTCAATAAAAGGCCACAGGTTACTCTAGGGAGCCATGCATTCAGGTTAAATGTAATTGAAGGCTGCATATTTTTTCATCTGTTTGTTACTGGAGTTCGTAGCCATTTAAAGATGGCATCTCCAACAGGTTGGGGGCACAGAAAGGAGTTTGGAAGCCAATTTAATTTTTAATGCCTGGATGAAGATGAAAATAATTATGAACTGTGGGAAACTACATTTTTGGACCAGTATGTTTGCTGATTTGAAGAGCACTGTATTATTGAAGGATGTACCCCCTAAAGATGGTGCCGCCGAAAATAAAGAGGTATATAAAGAACTAATTCATGTCTTGGATGAGTTTTTCCCTTGTCATGAGAGATACAGTACTGTGCACGGAGTGGGTACCTCTTCCGGAAGGTGTCAAAGAGAGCATCATTGACTATATCATCCATGCAGAAACTTATATCACAGTGCTACGTAACACAGGAAAAGTTTTAAGTGATAGCCTGCTGTCTGCAATGATATATTAGGTCATATTTAAAGAACCTTGAAAATTAAATATTTGGTCATGATGTGTTTTTGTTCTGCATTTTCTTTTATGGATGTGCTTCTTTGATTATAAAAGGTTTCACATTTGAATAAGGTAGTTTTTCCTCATATTAAAGGAAATATAATTTTGAAAAAACAGCAAATAAGGATACAATGAACCAAGTTGAATGACCCCACGCAAAACTCTAATTGTATATTCACTGAACAACTGGAACAAATATAGAGGCTCTGACAAGACTTTTCAGCTTTTTAAGATCTGCTGCAGTCATTCTGTCATTGACTAACAACAATGATGCTTAAAAATTAATGCGAGTCTTGTCTCAGGTTCCCTATGCAGATGACAAAGGTGTTTGCGTACTTCTGAGTGTTTTTTAATGATAATATTGCTATTAGTCCACCATCAAATACCTTTTTGTTAACAAAGCTGTCAGCTCTAAAGTTGTCCAAACAAATATGACGGTAACCCTTTTTTTTTTGTTGGAGGATTGCTTCAAAAAACATAATCCAACCATTTCTAAAGAATTGTGTCATCTTTTAAGATTAAAAGTAGG